TTTCTTGCCAAATCTATAAAATATGCTTCAATCAAAACCTATCTGGCAGCTGTTCGCCATTTGCACATGCGCCGAGGTCTTCGACTAAATTTACCAAAAATGCAACAACTGCAGCTGGTCTTACGTGGCATAAAGCGTTCCCATGGAGACCAATCCCGTGTGCGTTTACCAATAACAATTCATCACTTGCGATTGTTTCACTTAATGCTTGCCATTCCATCAACACAAAATTACGAGTCCCTCATGATTTGGGCGGCCATGACTTTGGCCTTTTTTGGATTTCTTCGTCTAGGCGAACTGACATGTAACACTAAATTCAACCCCGAGGTCCATCTCATGCTTGAAAACCTTTATTTTGCTCCAGGGGTGGGTCAAGGCAACCTCGAATTCATGACAGTGGAAATCAAAGTCTCCAAAACAGACCCATTTCGTTTGGGTCAAACAATCACAGTTGGCGCGTCCAACTCGCCGCTAAGTCCTGTTTTGGCAATGAAGAAGTACCTCTTGGTTAGAAAAACAACGGGTGGTCCACTCTTTGTTCATGTTTCTGGAAAACCTTTTACCAAACAAACTTTAACGTCTGAGACTCGGATTTTATTAAACCAAGCAGGTTTTAATGCGTCACACTATGCTGGTCATAGCTACCGAATTGGGGCCGCTACAACTGCAGCTTCAGCTAATTTGCCTGCGTGGCTCATTAAAACTCTAGGACGATGGTCTTCCGATTGCTATGAACGATACATTCGTATTCCATCTTTTACCCTGTCAAAGGTATCTGCCACCATGACTGCATCATTTAATTATAAAAAAAAGGGGGGGAAGGCGTTTTCGTCTATGGGGAACACTCTATCGTGTGTTTTTGGGGAAGAAGTATTCCAATATGTCAACTTCATTTCCCATAGACTCTAGTAACGTCACATATAAATATATATTTCAATTTAGCCAATGAAAAGCTTGTACGTATCCCAACTAAAACCAACAGCCAATCGCAAAGCAAGTAGAAGCATAAGTTATGCATCACGCGCAATTTTTTGGCATTACTTGCTCAAAGCTTTTGAAGGATTTACCTTCGAGCCCACGTTAATTACGAAATTAAGTCAATATAGTCTAAGGCGAGACTTTTTTTACTTATTAGTTTACGGATTTGACTTTCAAAAAACAGGACGGTAGGTCGGAAAAATTTAAAAAAAAACACAATGAGTATATTTAAAATCAATGTTTTTATCTTCTAATATTTTAATTTTGGGATAGGTAATAGGACCTCTACATGGGTCTTGGACCTGTGGTGTACTTAAAATCATTATTTATCTAATGGATTACTGTTATTTTCAACGGGGTCTTGAAAGTAGACCATGCCGTGAAACATTGTATAAAAGGTGCACGCGTTGTTTTGTGTCTCTTTTTGTCATTCCATAGTAGAAATATCGTGATTGAAGTTAGCATGTGCTGTATGTAAAGTTATTACTTGGTAATTGATAGGTGTAATTTGATGATGCACATGAATTTATCGATATCACAGGGTCGGGTTTGACCATACTGCGATGTTGTAAATTAGGAATTGGTAACATGACTTGTGATTTTGCGCTGTGTAATTTTCCTGTATCTCATTTGAGTAAAAGGTTTTCTTAAATATATCTTCACAGGGTCTGGAAAGTAGACCATGCAGTGAGATATTGTAAGCTTAATCCTTGTTGTTAACTGTGTATTCCATAATCTGTCCGTCACATGTGGTTAAGTCTATGTGAGGATTGTAGGTTTATCCCTTAGTATTGAAGTATGGATGCAGTTAGATTATGCACATACTCACAGGGTCTTGAAAGCAAACCATGGCGTGAGATATGCATGTCATGAGTCCTATGGTTTGTGTCATGTATCTAACTATTGATAGGTAGAATAAGTAGTTGTTGTACAATCTACAAAAATACGGTTTGTAGAATCTGGCAGAACATTTAATTATGCCACAAGGGTAAACTTTATTTAAAATTGGTGTCTTATACTAATCATCCCAGATGTTTTGTAAAATGGCGCCCAGGGTCTGGCAAACATTTTTATGACTGCACAGTATGGCAGTCATTACGTAGTATGTACCATATAGGTTAATACCTTTAAGTAATATATATCATATATAATAGGGACTGATTGCCCAAAGCAGTCCGAAGCAGTCCGAGCCAGTTCCGCGTTTCAACGTGGTGTGAATAGGTGATATATTCGGTCAATATCATTAAAAATGACTGTAGAGAAAGGCGAACATGGGTCGAACGGCATGCGGAACGGCCCTGGACAAACTATCCCATTGGTTCCACAAAATTACATTAAGGAGATAAGTGGATGGTATTGGAGAGATGTTGTGATTTTTAATGAAACATTGAATAATGATGTGATTGTGTATTGGGGCTATAGCAAACTTCACAGAGTCTCGGGTTGACCATGCTTGTGAAGTATGTTAGCGGATGGTATACCTATCATATGGAAGATACAGTATATATAGTTGTGTTAATTGTATTTTTTCAGTTCTACTTGAAGAAACATGGCTAATATCCATATTGTTACAACAATAACATGAGCCAGCAGTACTTAGAGTCAAAGTTTACTTGGCGTGTACTTCATGTCAGAACCCCAAATTAACTAAAATCGTAGAATAGCTGTTATCGTAATTGAATACGTCTATGCTACGGACCAGCGGGTATATGCATTATTTTAACATCGAGACGAGGCTATAGGGTCATGTTTTGTGTTTGTTGACCCTTTAGAATGCTTGTCGCTAAGGGACGGACCATTATTTTTTGGAGGGGGGGATGGAAGATTCTTTAAAAAAATGTTTGCAAAGACAAAAAAGTGCAAATAAATTGTTTGCACACATAGAGAAGAGGAAAAACATAGTTTGCAAGCTAATGAGATTATGCAACATCAACCAAGGTTTAATACGCAAACAGACATTTAATAGTTTTTCAAGTATATTTATAAACAAAAACATTTAATATACTTTTTTAATACGTTTAGCAATTTCAAATTGACTGTATTCAATAGATTAATAATTATAACCCATATGTAGATTGCGACATGTGCCCAGCGTCTCCCACTCCCAGGGCTTTTGGGGTGAAGACCCTGGGTATGTCGGTGAGCACTCTGTTCATTGTTATTAAATTTATACTTCTAACACCACATGTTGTTCACACATGCGATAGCGCATGTAATCGGGCACAAATTAAACTACAATCTTGGCCATAAACCGTAGGACGATGATAAATTTTGTGCATTTTTTAGCTCTTCCCCC